GAATGTAATGAAAGGCAACTTTCTGGTGGGGCCTCGGTGGTTTTCTGAAGCTATCTCACTCAGATGGCTTCCCAAGAAGTCCTGAATAGCTTATCAGGGAGCAGAGCTAGAATCTGGCTGCCCTTCACAGAAGCATAGGGTACTGTAATGATCACCGACATTTAGAAAACATCCAGAAAGTAAGCAAAGTACAGTAATACAAACAATTGCAAGATTTCCCACAAATGAAGTACTGAAACAGTCAAATGACTCCACAAAATATTCACTTGAAATTAGCTTTTAACTTCCTAGCATGAATAGCCACCAAGAGATGACAGTACCTTCAGGAGCTCCCAGGAGCTCTTAGCAGGTCTTGGCCTCTACACCATTTTGAGTTAGACCAAAGCCGATAGACCATGAATCGAGGAACTTAGTAAAGGGAAAGGGAATTAGGAGGCACTGAGGGCATACCAGAAGAAGCATTTCATTTCAATCAACAATAGAGAAATAGTAAACACATGACTTACTAGGGAGGAGAGGCAAGTGCCAATTGCACCCACAAAGATGAGTTACCTGGAGCTGATTCATCATCAGATAGCAATGTTGCTATAGGTGGAACAGATCCTCTGGAGGTAGCCTTGGAATAATAGATGGAGTAGATGGTAGGAATAGAGATGCCAACTGGGAATCCGAAACCAGGTCCAACCAGGTCCAAACCTGGGCCAGAACCAACTTGGATTTTTTCCAGTTCACCAGGAACCCAAATCTGGCAAGCAGAGAACCCAAACCAGCCAGTCAAGATAGGCCAGGATATGAACCCCCCCAAAATGTAGCAAGGTTACAACTTCCTACTAAAGATCCAAGGAGCCAACTTCAAGCCAAAGGGCTTCTCACCTCACCTTGAGGTGAGAAGCCCCACAAGAAACCTTAGTCAGTCCCCTAGGATCTCAGGTGAACAGGGACATGCCAGTGCATGTTCTTGAGGTCCACAGACACCATCCAAGAATCCTCCTGCAACACCAGGAGAACCTCATTGAAAGTGGTCATATGGAATGTCAGAAAGAATGAAGCTGTTCAATCCCAAGTAGTCAAGTGTACCATGGGTCTGACAAGTCCTGCTTTGTGACCAGGAACAACTGGAACACCCACGGCACAGAGAAAGGTAACTCGACCGCAACCATGTCGAATCGCATCACGACGACTGTCCACAGATGAAGGGATCTCCTGAGCTTAACAGATGGGAAAAGGGGTGGATCAAATCCACTAAAGACCCTGAAAGAAACACCCAGAAAATGGACCAGATGTTCCCCACAGCACCATCAAAGATGTGGACTATAAAAGAGCCCACATGAAGCCTCCAAGCAGAACCACCCTTCCACAGTCCTGCATGTGATTGCGGAATCAAGTAGAATAGGCACAAGCAAACAGACAGACAAGGACATGGGAATCCGACTCCACTGGAGGCCTACCCTGACCTCAGGGCAGGCAAGACCTCAACCCTGCTGGACCTGCTACGAGCAGATGGGACAGAACCCCTCTGTAAAAGAATGAGATTAAGGGATGAAAAGCTGCAGCAGTGACTGAAAGAACAGCAAAAACAGCTTCCTAATGAAAGAAAAGAGGCAAAAACGAGATTGCAGACAAAAGAACTAGTATGCCAAATCTACAGTGGACCAGTACAGCCCACCAATTTGTGAGAAAGGCCAAGTAAAACCCCCACCCCCACCTCCCAAAGGAGGGAGGTTGAACAACTTGGGCAGCATTGTTGAGGCAAGAATTGCAGGCAACAAGGCAGCAACAGACAGCAGAACATCCAAGCAATTACAGAGCTAGTCAGAGAACAGCTCAATATCCACCCAGACATGCAAAATGGATTCCATGTGGGTATATATCATAACTCTGTGATCCATCACAATAAGGGTTCCAGAGAGTATGGCAGTTAGACACACAACTGCCTTTTACCCATGCAGAGCACTGAGCAAACAAGTAGTTCACAGGCAGCTCAAAAGAAGCACTGTCCAAGAACACATGAAAGACTGAATTCACTTTCCACTATGCAAAGCATCCAAATTTTGAAAAAAAAAGTCATGCCATGCCTACAGGGAAAGGTGACGGTTGTTAGCATGCCAAGACAAATTAGGGCCCTCATATTGAAACCAATATACCTGGCATCTTTTGAGTTCAGGGCAGGGGGAAAGCTGACCAACTCAAAACAGACTGTGTTCATAAGGAAAGTGAGGAACTGAAAGAAGTCCACCCAAGCCGAAGAAGACGGAAGACAAAACACAAGACAACAGAACCCACTTCAAATAAGGCATTTTTGCAGAACCGAACAAGACATGAGGGGGAAAAGGCATGCAATCCGGCTCAAATATGAGGAGAAAAAAGTTCTGCAGATGAAATAAAGGTCCTCCTCAGGCTCTCCCCAAACCCTGAAAGTTGGCCATATCAACCCCAGAGCCAAGCTGCATTCCAAGCCCAATTCGTGAAATATTAAGGCATTGCCCCATGGAAAGATTGGAGCTATGCAAACCTACCTGTGAAGTAGAAGACTCCAAATCCCCGGTAAGGAGGAACTGCTCAACAGTCTAAGTTGTTGATGTAGATGAGGCAGACCCCAGAGGCCACTGAGCTACACCCAAAGCTAAATCATGCTTAGATTCCAAATCCCTTGGTGAGGGAAGAACAGATGCTGGACAGACCACATCAACAGAGGGAGGAGGAGGAGGAGGAGCAAACTCAGAGTACCTAAACACCAAAGACTAAAGGCCAGCTCCAGGGCATCCAGCAGAGCACCAGGCTACATACCACAGACACTGGCAACATGTCTTGAGGCACACTCATATAAAATAGAGACCCAGTAAATGAAAATGTCAAGCCTTAGTTTTGAAGGTGTCACCAACCCAATTAGTAGTATAGCAAAGACAAAGAATGACAGTCAGCATGTAGTAAGGCCAACAGACACCCATCAACCTTGTAAGGATAGTAGATTGATCCATTATGAGCCATGTTGCACACCTGAAGAAATAACCAAGCAAGACATCTAGACACTAGGGATGTTCACTGAAGGAGCCAACTGCAAATGCAGACCTAAGGATAAATGAGACTGTGAAAGGTATCATCGGCAGGCCATATGAAGCCACACATGACCTCTTGCACACCCACAGCAAAAAAAAAAAAAAAACTAAACCTAATAATCAAAGGGCCTTGTAGAAGAGCAAAAGATTCTTGCACTACCCAGAGTGAGGCACTCTACGAAGTAGAGTGTTTGGCTTCTCGGGCCAAACTTCCAGACTCGCCAGAGAAGTCACTCTGTCAGAGCAGGGGAAACATTAAACGAGTGCTTAGGGAAGGGCTGTCCTAAACAAATGCAGCTCATAGTGAAGAATAGACCAAGGCCACACAAGAGGCGAGGCATAACACACACTCACGAAGCAAATATCAAAGTTTGGAACACTGCACAAGCAAGTGGTCCAGATGGGACGTGTCCAAAGGATCACCTACACTTATATTCAAAAGAAGTAAGACTCGCTACAGCCAGCAACTTGGGGAACTCTGAATTAACATACAGTACATCAGCAACAGGACCAAGGCTAAGATGGAGTTGGAGGCCAAGAGTTCCAGGTGGTGCCGCCACCTGCTGATGGCCAGTCGTGACTAATGGGGTCCGACCTAGTTTCCCAGTGAATCATTTGTGGGGTCACTTTGCCATTTCTGTGCTTCATTTTTATCTAAACCAGTGCTTCCCAACTTTTTATCTCCCATTCTCCCTTTTTCAACCATATTCACACTTGTGGATCACATACAACAAATTAGTTCAAGCTAGAAAAATTGACAGTATCCATTGCTACAATAAATACATACATTCATACATCACAAGCCTTGTATTGTTATTCTCAGTTAAAATTGCATATTTTGTTAGAGTTCAATACAAAACATTGCATTAGTTCCATGGACACCACCAATTAGGAACCACTGCTCTAAATGTCGCAGTTGTCTGTATTACTTGTCGCAGTTGTCTCTATTACTTCGCTGATATTTTCTCAGCGAGGGCTATCTTATCAATCCCCTGCTCCCTGTGTCCCCTGAGGGGACCAGGTTCTGGCTCTGGTCGGCCATGCAGCACTGATGGCTGATGCAACGTGGTAGGGGTAGCCATTTCGGCAAGATAGCTTCAGGGAGACATTGTTTGGGCCCCCTCCGGGAAACCACTATTACAGGCTCTAAACATTATTTGGAAATAGAGCCAAGATACTGGTGTTATCCCCCACACACTTAAAAACAGTGGAGATTGCCCCACTCCAAAAAGGAGACAATAAAACAAATGCAAAAAATTATATACCAATAGCACCTTATACCACCAGCAATCACCAATCCAAATACCTTGGAACCAACACAAACTGAACATAAGGTAAGGTAATCACTTTTTTTTATCAAGAATTTTCATTGTATTGTCACAGATACCTGGAAATTGATCCCTGCTTCATACCACAAGAATTGTATTAATCTGACTCATCAAATCTAATGGTAAGTACTAAATGGAGATGAAAAATGAAGTACACACAAGAATTAACATATATATATAACCAATGTTGACACACATACAAATGCTCTGTTACACATTGGTTCAGCTTTTGATGATACTTCTCTAGTACAATTCCTAATTGCCTGGTAACGAGTACAAGGAGCAACTACTGCCAATATTTCAGTGATGTACACTGTTCACCTTCAGAACACCAATTAATCAAGTGTGGCCATAGCAACTCTTGCAGGGTCACATAAGAATATACTGTATATACTTAGTTATGTACATACCCATTACACAAAAACATAAAAATATGGTCTCAAAACCAGTGAATATCCACACCAACAAAATGTGATAGAGCAAGCAATGAGTGACTATAGCATTTGACCTGATTTGCTTAACAAGCAATCAGTACAGTGATTTAGCAAGCAACTAGTGAATGAACAAAAATGCAAGCAACAGTATACTTCAAATCTTACTACAGTACTGTACTCACCTTTTTAGTTTCTAGCGAGCCATCAGACGTGGACTCTCGTCTTTGGGTGCGCTTTTTCAGCTTGCCTATTTCAGACGGTGAAGAGGACTCCACCACTTGTCCCTCCAGTACCAGCGGGTACTGCTTCTTCAATAGCGTTAGACCTTCGATGAAATAAGGCCCATACAGGTCACCAAGCTTACACGAATGACTGTAGTTCTTGCATAATGAGCAATACCAGGAGGTATCTTTGGAGAAGGCATCGTAATTGTTATGAAGTGTGCTGTTATAACCTACTTTGGCAGTCTTTTGCTTAGCTTCAATCTTACAGTAAAACTGGATGCTGGATTTCCGTATCGTTTTCTCTTGCTCGTCCTCATCCCGGTGAGGGGTATTGACAATTACTTCTCTACACCTAGTTTTATCTAATCGAATAAAAGGACCTCTTCTTTCACAAGTTTCACCTTTTTTCCTTCCATCTTCACTTTTTTTTCTTAATTCTACATCATCACTTCTAGACTTATTATAATTTTTTATTTTCCCTTTACTAAATTTTCCTTTCTTGGCACTAGAAGCTTCAACTTTCCCTTTCTTACCTTTGTCTTTCTTGAGTCCCTTCTGCTTGGCAGGTCCTGCTTTGCCATGTTTCAGGGCTGTTGGCACAAAGTTATTATCACCACTAATATCACTAGCCATACTCAAGAGATTACTTCGAGTACCACTTCCTCTGCTCCCACTTTCACAATCACTGGAATCAAATTCATCATCCTCTCCAATATCATTACCCTCACTATCTCCCCCATCATCACTTTCAGCCATACTGTCAAAGTTGTCAAAGTCCTTGGGGACGTAATCTTCATCTTCACTCTCTTCATCTTCCATATTAAGAAGCAATAGAAGATCATTCATCTCATTTTCATCCATTTTCCTCGGTGGACGAGAGGATCGTTTTGGACGTTTGTCCACATAACTTTCCTCAGTAGCTGCAGGAATACTGGAGGCAGTCTCTTCCAAAAATTTTGCAATATTCTCAACAGTTTCAGCATCCACATCCACATCAGTACCTTGAGGTACCTCTAAAGCATCTGGAGGAGCAATTGGTATACTTGAAGTCTCTGGAGCATCTAATGAAATTATAGGATTAATACTGGGTTCAGTAGGACTTGCTTCCAAAGTGTTTAATGCACACGATACCTCTTTTGCATCTGATTTTTCCTCCGTTTCCAAATTTGTAACTGAAGATTTTGATCTTGTTTCTTGGGACTCGGATATTGTATCCTGGATTTTAAGCGGTACATTTTGGGTTTCCAAGTCTGCTATCCGAGTCTCCAGTTTTGTCTCCTCAGTCTCCAATGCTGTGTCCTGGATTTCTGATTTTGTTGCTTGTGTTTCACACATACCATTCTGAACATCAGATTTAGTCTCTGATGAGTCAGTCTTTGTATCTTTGGCTTCATTGTTTACATCTGTTATCTCAGATTTTGTATCTTGAGTTTCAGATTTTGTATCCGGAGTCTCTGGCTTTGCATCCCGAGTCTCTGGCTTTGAATCCTCCCGAGTCTCGGGCTTCGTATCCTGAGTCTCGGGCTTTGAATCCTCTAGATTCTCAGGCTTTGCATTCTGAGTCTCTGACTTTGCATCCTGTTTGGCACTCGCCCTTCTAGCTCTCAATCTTCTCCCTCGAGATTCTGACTCCTCCATTAATTGTGTTATCACAGTAATAGTTTCGTCTGTGGAATTTTGACAAGATGCTAAATCAGGTCCATTGGAAGTCCCATCCACAGGTTGGGGGTTGTTTTGTACAAGATAATAATCGGCACCTCTCTTGGGTCTATTTTTGCGTGGAGTACCATCACATTTTGAAGTGTCACTGACTGGGGAAGTAGGTACACTTGTGCTTGATTCATGAACCAAGGTTTTATCCTTGCTATATGAACCTTCTTGAGTGATGCTGGTTATACCACTACAAGTTTTAATGTCATCAAGTGTACCTTCAGGTACAAGTTCATACTGTTTGGTTTCATGTGGAAGCACACTGTTTTCTTTGCTGACTTCATTTTTTGTCTGAGCTCTTTTGCTCTTCGAGGATTTGCCAGCAGTCTTTTTTTTCCCCTTGCCCCTCCCTTTGGCTTTTGGTTTAGTTCCCACGGGCTTTGTAAGTTCACATTTTATTTCTGTTACACCAGTTTCTAACCCATCCGCTGACCCTATTTCTTGTTTTCCTGCAAATTTATCTACACATTTTACTAAATTTGTTTCGCACTTTATAGAAGACTCTTCAGTTTGCAAGAGTCTCTCCACTGCAGGCTTTTGTTCATCAGTTTCTAGTATGGAAGGTGTCTGTGTTTCATCACTGTTTATCTGTTGGTCATTCAGAGGGTCTCCACTTCTTCGGCCCCTTTTTCGAATTTTACTACTTGGAGACCCTACTCTTTCAACTGGTTGTGGTACCAAAGCTGCCAACTCTATACTTTTTTCATCCTTATCCTCTTTGCTTTGTGCATTGCCCGAGATCAGCCCTGAGAAAGATGTGTTATTTTTTAAGTTGCCCGACGGAGAAGATGGAAGGTTAGAATCCATGGATTCATTACCCTTGGCAGTAACAATTTCCTGGTTGTCTCTAGTCCTATTCCTCCTACTACTTCTTCTTGGAGATATCACATTTCCATCTGCCTTGGCTGCATTATCTGTAGCTGGAGTATCAGTACTCTGAGAATCTTGTATAAAGATGTCCTCGGATAGAGGTACTGTTTTGCTTATATCAACACTACTCTCTTGCAAAAGACTAATTGTTGTGCTCTCCGACGATGGCATCTCGGCCAGAGATTTTGACAAATCTCTGACAGGCGGAGAGATACCTCGAAGCCATTCTTTGTTTCTTTCTGAAATAGGGCTGCGAGAACTGGAAAAAAACTTTGGTGACCGTGGAGACTTCGCATGTGGTTCTCTTGGTCTAGGGCTAATACTTGATTTTGCCATCTCAAGTGGTGACTTTGAATTTTTTTTAGGGCTGCCACCTTTCTTTCTACCACGTTTTCCCTTCTTTCCTCGACCAACCCCATCACTATCAGTGTCGTTAAAATCATACACATCTGGGCTGCACGAAGAAGGAGTAATGGGTGGTGGAGCAGGAACTCTCAAATCTGGCTCATGAATCAGTGTTGTGTCCACATGCAGTGGTTCTGTAATACTTGAGAATTCTTGTAAACCAGGAGCCACCAACCTCCCTCTACCCCTAGTAATGCCACGAAGGACACCACGGCCGCGCCTCCCGCCAGGAGGAGAGTTATGAGATGACTTTCCTGGAGATTCTTCCAGTGGAAGAGTTGGAGGAGTGCTTGGGGGATCACTTTGAACTTGTTGCTCTGGGCTAGGATTACTCTCGCCATCTATCCTATCCCTAGTATCTTTTGTTTTACGACCTTTCTTCTTCAAAGGAGTCGTATCGGGCGAAGAGTCCTCATTCATTTCTAATACAGGATCTGTGCCATCCTCCGCATAAGAAACTGCCCTTTTTTGCCTAGTCCTTCTCTTAGTATCACTACACTCCTCTAGCTGCCCGTCAACCTGAAATTCCATTTCTGTTACCGAATCACTTTCCGATTTTCTTTTTCTAGCATTTTTTCTTGCACTATCAAATATTTCATGATCGCCATTGAAATAATCTTGATCATTTTTGCCTAAATTTTTATGTACATCACTATCAGTTTCACAATTTTCTGTATTCACATTTAACAAAGATTGACTGTTGCTACTGCTACTAATTGCATTCTTTACCACATCCTCACTAATTGCACTAACACCATTTACAGGGGTGCTCTCTATGTTAGGACTTAAAGTATGTGCAGTACTATCCTCACCTGACATGGAAACACTTACACTTGGTACACTATTTTCCCCCCTGTCACTTCTTCCTACCTCACTTATTGTGCTGTTACCTAACGGATCACTTACACTGCTGGTATCATTTTCCAAGTACCTCGGAGAACATCTCCGTTTTTTGACGGGTGCTGTGGTGCCATCTACTGAAGCATTAATAGGAGGAGTCCTTACACTATTTAACTCAACTTCTTGCATGGTTATCTGGGACTGGGATAGGGGTCTTTGGGCCTCTTGAATAGAGTAAGTCTCTACTTCCTTAGGATGGGGCTCGAGGAGATCTGTTCGCACTTGTAACTGTTGTAGCGGCTGCGGGTGAGGGACAGGCACATCTGCTTTTCCTGATGTTGGTGTCTGAGTCATTTGTAGTAACTGACTGGCATTCAGATGAGCTGCTAAGAAAGGGTGGGCAAGGGCATGGCTCATGGCCTGACTCATACCCTGATTAGGAAATGCTTCTCTGGAAGGTGGCAGCCGCAAGGAAGGGTCAGCAGGAGAATTACTACGGAGTGAATCGTGGGGCGAGTCCCTGTGATCTACGGTACTCCTCGTCAGTAAAACATCATACCCCTGAGAATCATCCGAACTGGAGTCACCGCCCCCGCCACTTCCCCCTTCAGGCTGTGCAGTGATAGGGTATATGACGCTCTGTCGCCTAGGTTGTTCTTGTTTACGACGGTGTCTGGTTCGCTGATCCCCCTCGCTTTCACTTCCACTCTGCACCCGTCTACTATCACTACCCCCATCACCACTGCCATCAACACCACTAGCAACTTCATTAGCATCTTTTACTTTCGCAGGAGTACAGAGGACTTCTTGACTACTTATGCTGGTAGGTAAAGGATGAGAACGCGTTCTACCCGGAGAAGGCTGTGGGTCCTCATGCCTCATCTCTGAAGGAACAGACGAGCAATGTTTCCTACCCTGCGGAGAAACCTGCTGCAAGCGTGGAGCACCATGCATGGCTAAACCCTCACCATTCAGCCCAGCAGTAGCTGCAGTAACCAATGCTGCCGCTTGCTGCTGTTGCAACTGCTGTTGGTGTTGTTGCTGTTGGTGCTGATGTTGGAGCTGTAGTTGATGTTGCTGATGCTGTTGCTGATGATGCTGTTGTTGTAGTTGTTGCTGCTGATGCTGCTGTTGTTGATGCCTTCTTTGTTGTTGTTGCTGCTGCTGCTGTTGCTGTTGCTGCTGCTGCTGCTGTTGTTGATGTTGTTGCTGCTGCTGCTGCTGCTGTTGTTGCTGTTGTTGCTGCTGCTGCTGTTGTTGCTGCTGTTGCTGCTGGTGATGAGAGTTAAGTGGTGAGGCAGCATGTAAGGCAGCTGGATTAATTGAAGTAGGGGCTGGAATTGCACCAAGGGCAGCAGCAGCAGCAGCATACTGCCTAGCAGCAAGGAGGCTCCGGTATACTGTGGCAGCATCCCCACCGCTGGCTACCAGCTGCTGCAGGGAAGCCAAGGCTGAACCAACTCCTGGTGCCATGCCAGGGGGCAGTGGGGGGGTGGCTTTTGTCTCCCCTTTACTGGGCACCCGTCGACCCTCGGCACGGTTATCGGCCCGAGGCTCGGCTCGACCATCAACTTGACCTTCCCCATAGCTGCTGTAGCCATACAGTCGCATGTCACCACCGCCACCTGTAATAAGCCTAGTGATAAAATTGGTGCAAAGAAGACATAATAAATTGTGTGTGTGTGTAAGTGTAGTTACAGGATGAGAGTAGTTACACAGGATCAGTAGTTACAGAATCATGGTGTCCCAGTTGCCTAATACTCTGTCCTATGATGCTTTGAAACTGCTGATGGCTTTAACATTACCAGATTTTCACATATTGTTCCAATCATCTCCAACTCTGTATGCAGAAGATACCAAGGCTTTGCTGGTTGAAGGCCTTTGGTACTCAGATATTACCAATATGTATCTATTTTAGCATGTCTCACTTTAAATTAGCTTCCTTGATAATCAGTTCTATGGACACATGCTTCCTAAAATTTGGACTTTTACTGTTGGAAGCATAAATATTCAAATGATCTAGAGAATTGTATTTTGCAGTTTGTAATGTAGCTTCCCCCTCGTCGCCTTCCCCCCACAAGGCCTTTAACACTTGAAACAACATCATGAGGTATACAAAACGCAAGCGCCTCCAGCTCCCAACCCCCTGTCGGATGCGGTGTTGAAAGATCGTTGTCTGAAGGGAAAATTCGAAGAGTCCCCCCTGGCGAAGTGGCAGTATACTTGCTTGGCATTTCACGAGCACTTTGGCCTGGGTTCGTATCCTGGCTGGAGAGGATTTACTTGGGGCCAATCCTTAACTGTAGCATCTGTTCACCCAGCAGTGAATTTGTAGTGAATGTGCAGTGAATGTACACATTCAGCAGTGAACTGATGTGTACCTGGTTGTTAAACAATTTGGCAAGTCGGAACAATGAAAAAGCCACTCGGAGAACAGTTTGCCATTAACCGAGGTTTGGCACCCAGGAAGGTCGGTGCCCCAAAATAGACCCCAATTGGCTGAAAATTGCAACCCAAGACCTAACAGAGCCTAAGAACTCTCCCCCAAGAAAAACAAGGTAACAAGCAAATCGTTATCAAACCACTTGTTCGCCACTTGTTCACCCTCCCCATCCCCACCCTAAGGAGGTGGAGGGGGAGGCCCCACCCATCCGAGCCGGCCACCTGCTCACCAGTTCGGAGACTGAGCAAACAGAAGGAAAACCACTGACCAGAGGGAGGGAGGGTGCCAGGGAGCCTCTAGGGCTCACCCAGAAAATGGCGTTTCATTACATTCAACACTGGTTTTCTGTGGGGAGCCCTGTCAGCTCCCTGAAGCTAGATACCCGAAGTAAAAGAGGGACTTATCCGGGAGGGGGTGCACCATCACGTTCCATAACGTTTTTACGTCATGGAATATGATGAAGACTGGACAACTGGCTGCAACCGACAGCCCAAGGCCACACAAAACTGCCGAGGGCCCGAAATGTTCGAAACGTAAAAAAAAAAGAACTGCAAGCAGCCGAATCAGGCTCTGGATTGGAAGAGAAATTGATCATAACCCATGCATCAGAGAAACAAAGCAAATAAACCTCCATAAAGAGTGGAAAAGTGGTGTATCCACAACAAAACAAGACTTTCACTTCAACTACCAGATGCAAGAGGCAATGTATTCAGCAGACAAACACCTCACCCTGTCTAACATCAACAATGGAGGACATAAATAGCCAGAGAAAAGCATGAAGATAGTACCTTCCTCACTCGAAAATCTGGGTAAAGGTAATGGTCTCTGTTTTTGACACGAGAAGCTATGGTACAATAATGTATGCATCCTTGCATACACAACTCTTCCCCCTCCAGACCCTCACTATGAAGATGACGCAAAGAACAACCTGGCAGAGGGTCAACTCCAGACTAGTTTACCCAATGGTGGCAACCAAAAATGTTAAGGTCACTCTGAAGAGAAAATCAGGAGGAGGCATGAGGAGGATTCAAACCTACACACTGGGTACTTCCAAACACACACACCTTAAACCATTGTACTTTTGAGAATAGTGTGATAATGTAATTACCTAAGTGTAGTTACAGGATGAGAGCTACGCTCATCGTGTCCCGTCTTCCCAGCACTCTTTGTCATATAACGCTTTGAAATTACTGAAGGTTTTGGCCTCCACCACCACCTTACCAAACTTGCTCCAGCTGTCTACCATTCTGTTTACAAAAGTGAATTTTCTTAGATTTCTCCAGCAACTTTGTTTCGTTAGTTTAAATCTATGACCTCTTGTACTTGAAGTTCCAGATCTCGGGAATTCTTCCCTATCAATTTTATCGATTCCTGTTACTATTTTGTACGTAGTGATCATATCACCTCTTTCTTCTAGCTTCTAGTTTTTGCATATTTAATGCCTCTAACCTCTACTCATAGCTCTTGTCCTTCAGTTCCAAGAGCCATTTAGTGGCATGTCGATGCACCTTTTCCAGTTTGTTGATGTGCTTCTTAAGATATGGGCATCATACAACCACTGCATATTCCAGCTTTGGTCTAACAAAAGTCATGAACAATTTCTTTAATATTTCTCCATCCATGTATTTACAAGCAATTCTGAAGTTAGAAAGTGTAGCATAGGCTCCTTGCGCAATGTTCTTAATATGGTCCTCAGATGATAGTTTTTTGTTTAGAACTACCCTTAGATCTCTTTCTTTATCAGAATTCTTTAAAGATTTCTCACATAATTTATAGGCTGTATGGGGGTCATGTTCTATTCCACATTCCATAACATAGCATTTATTCACATTAAATTCCATTTGCCAAGAGGTGCTCTATATACTTACTTTTGTCCAGGTCTTCTTGAAGGGCATGACAATCATCTAAGTTTCTTTTCTTTCCTATTATCGTAACATCAGCAAATATGTTCATGTAATTCTGTATTCCATCTGGTAGATCATTTATGTAGACAATGAACATTACCGGTGCAAGAACTGAACCCTGTGGTACTCCACTTGTGACATTTCTCCAATCCGATACATTGCCTCTGATTATTGCCCTCATTTTTCTATCAGAGAATTTTTCATCCATAATAGAAGCTTACCTGTCACCCCTCCAATATGTTCAAAATCCAGAACAACCTCTTATGTGGAACTCTGTTGAAAGCCTTTTTTAGGTCCAGATAGAGGCAGTCAACCCAACCATCTCTTTCCTGTAATATCTCTGTGGCTCGATCAAAGAAACCGAGTAAATTCGTTACACAGGATCTACCAGATCGAAAACCACACTGTCTTATATTATATCGTTTTTATCCAGATGTTCTACCCATTCAATTATTTTTTCCAATATTTTGACTATTACACTTGTCAATAATACAGGTCTATAATTGAGTGGGGTCTTCCCTGCTGCCATTTTTGTACATTTGAACTGTTAGCCTTATTCCACACATCTGCTACAATGCCTTTACACAGGGATGTCTACAAAATCCGTTGAAGTGGAATGCTGAGGTCAGGTGCACATTCTCTCAGAACCCATGGTGAAACTCCATCTGGGCCAACTGCTTTGTTCTTACTTAGCTCCTTGAACATTTGTTCCACTTCATCTCTAGACACATATGTGCTCTATGTTTGTGCTCACTTTGGAATTCTTATTGTGTCTGGTTCCCTGAAGATTTCATTTTGTACAAACACACTTTGGAACTTTTTGTTTAATGTTTCACACATTTCATTTTCATTTTCCGTAAATCTGTTTCTCATTTTCAACCTGTGAATATTATCCTTTACCAGCAATTTGTTGTTTATGAATTCATAGAATAGGCCTGGTTCTGTTTTACTTATGTCCACTATCCCTTTTTCAAAATGTCTTTCTGCCTCTCTCCTCACTGCTGTGTAGTTGTTTCTCACATCTTTGTATTACAGTACTTGTATGTTTGGAGGTTTGGCCTTTTCCTACAGTGATTACATTTTTGTGACTCTTGGTCTCTGGCCCTCTCGCAATTTCTGTTGAACCAATCCTGTTTCTTAGTGCTGTATCTCTGCTTTGGTATAAATCTTGTTGTGCCTTTATCATATATTTCACAAAACTTGACATACATCTCATTTACTTCATGTCCTAACAACAAGTCTTTCCAGTCAAATTTCTAAAGAAATGTCTGAGTTCCCCATAATGTCCTCTCCTGAAATCAGGTTTTTCCAACTGCTTCAACCTCATTTTCTTTCAGATTATAACACATTGCATACTTTATTCTCAAAAAGACTTGGTCACTTTTAACCATGGGAGGAAGGTACTGAATGTCAAATATCTCTTCTCCTTTCCTGGTATATATCAATCCAGCATGGAGGGAACATCCACTTCCTTCATCCTTGTAGCTTGTTTAACACTTTGAAATATGAATGTTTCCAGGATGAGGTTTATGAATCTACAAGTCCAAAAATCCTCTGTTCTAGCTTCATATGCCTCCCAGTCTATGGATTTCAAATTGATGTCGCCGACTACCAACAGTCGTGATCTATCTTTATCAGCTCTTGCTATAATTTCTCTCATTATTGTTATAAAACCCCCTCGTTTATTATCCAGCTCCTCCTTTGACCGTGTGTTGCATGGCGGTGAACTATATGCATTTATGATCGTTAGTTTATCATCCTGATTGCATATCTCTAGTGCTATTATGTCAACGTCTCGTGGATTGGCAATCATTATTTCATTTACCTTTAGGTGTTCTTTCACCAGCACAGCAATGCCACAGCCTTTCCTAATTTTTCTGTCCCGTCTCCAGACTGAGTAGCCTCTTGGGAATATGACCTCATTTAAAGTATCATCTTCAAGTTTTATCTCCATGAGTGCAAAAATGTCTGGTATCTTCAGCTGTATTACATCACTTAACTCCAGTATCTTGATCTCACTCCATCTATGTTGGTGTACGCAATTTTCAGAAACATGTTCCCCCTCTCCTTATTCTTCACTACCCCTTTCTTTACCGATTTTGTTCGTTAGCCTTTTTGTACCATTTTACTGGCCTGCCTACCCCTATCACTTTGTAGAAAAAAGAATAGATTTCTTCATCATTCCTGCTCTCATTTAGACGTTTTGCCTCAACGAGGTACAGTTTCAGCTTCTGTCTTTTGAAGGATTTCGTTCGTCTTAACGACGATACTTTCCCCTTCCTCGTTACTTTCTAATTTTCTAGCATTCCTTAATACTCCTTCCATCTGTTTGGCACCGTTTAGGGTAATCCTCAAAGGTCGATCTTTCCCCTTTTACGTACCTGCCAATTCTCCTGTAGTTGCAGACATTTTCATTGATAATAAGACCATCCACGAGGCTAAAAATTTTATCTACTACTTTTGCTTCTTCTATAGCTTTCTGACCTAGATGTTGTCTCCTTTTCTTTGCAACCAAAAATTATCAGGGACTTACTTTGATCAACTGTGTTTTGCACCAATTTAGGATTTCTTATCTTGAGGTTATCTTGAGATGATTTCGGGGCTTAGCGTTCCCGCGGCCCGGTCCTTGATCAGGCCTCTTTTTTTTTGTTACACACCCCCAGGAAGAAGCCTGTAGCAGCTGTCTAACTCCCAGGTACCTATTTACTGCCAGGTAAAAGAAGGGTGAAAGAAGCTTTGCCCGTTTGTTTCCGCTTCCACCGGGGATCGAACCCGGAACCTCAGGACTACGAATCAGAAACGCTGTCCACTCGGCTGTCAGGCCCGACAGACATTTGATGCCAGTTCCTTTCCGACTTCCAGCCTAATGTACGTTTTATCCAGGTTGCTGCAGTATTTTGCTTCTTTTACTGCTTCTTTTATTTTTTTCCTTCTCCTTGGCCACTTGTGCATAGGTAAGTTGCATATCCTTCTTGCACTTATATTCCCTGTGTAACTTCCTCCATCTGTACTAACAAAAGCCGTTTCTCCTGTTGAATTTCCTTACCTAACCTATTGTAGTCATGTATGTTTAAATTTACTTTAACTTCTTCCAAAGCTGTTTTTAAGAGTTTATTTTCCTCTTCCATGGCTTTGCAATTTGTTTCCAATTGATTCTTGTCCATGCACAAGTCTTTCACTAACCCCTCAAGACCTAATACTTTGCTTCGCAAGTGGTCATTACTTTCTCTCCATTTGCTGATTATTTCTAAATGAGAGATTATAGTATCTAATTTTGCCAACTTGTTGTGTAGACTACTTATATCAATGCCTTCCTTCTTCATTGAAACACCCCAAAATCTAGCCGTTTTGTTTTTCTTCTTGCCGGCGGCCATCTTGAATATCGTCGTCTGCATTGTGAACACTAGGGCAACTTTTTCTCATCCAATTTGTTCACTTTCCTTGGCACATTTGTGTTATCTCGCCTATTTTCCAGAGCACTACACCTTTATGTTCCTTGGGACACCACTCAGTATCACTGTGGTTTAAGCTGTGTGCTTGAGAGTACCCAGTGTGAAGGTTCGAATCTTCCTCATGGTTCCTATTGATTTTTTCATTGATATATCACATTAATTTGATTCCTTTGTGCATATCTCTGTTATCGGTCATCAGTGACAGCATCAGGTATTAGAACCCTGAAACTACTGCTGAAGTTAAATGGAAGAATGAGACGTGCAAATAAGCTCTGAAAGAGGCTGAGTGTTTTGACACCTTTCTCAAAATGTTTGGCAATGGTACATTCAGGTTCCCACAGGTTACACACCTCACCAAGAGTAAAAGATGGTTGAAAACAGTCCTTGTCCCCAGTGAGTCAGGAGCCTGGAACAGCCACAATGTCATAATTTTTCTGGTGATACAAGCTAATGGGAGCTACCCCAAAAGGGTAATGTATCCAGGGTAATGTGATGTAATGTGCATCATACAATAACTTGTGATGGTTAAATAGCACTGTATTTGTGTTACATTCAGTGCCACATGTAAATATGTAATGAATAGAGGGTTCTAGCAGTAAAAAATGTCAATTGTATTGAATAATATCACAACAGTAATTATATTCTGAACAACATCTCAGTCATTCTCAATACTACAATCATCAATAATCTTCATTTCTACATTCGTATCTGATGCTGCAGGAATAATCTGAATGCTGTGTCACTTGACCTAGTGTGACATCAATACAAGATGTCTATAGTATGACTAAATATCAGTCTAAATGTGGTCAATACTCTAAATCTTCATACAACAAGTTAAAATTAAAGCGTACACAAAATATCCTTATGAACTTTCACAGTACTGTATTTCCTTAAAGCCTATAATAAAATGTTATTACTTAGGCCCATGAAATGAATTCTAAAATCATAAGTGAAAAGCAAAATACTGTGTTACAAAAGCATTGATAATCCAAGACTTAAATCTACATTTATAGCAAATAGCTGAACTGTCAGATCAACAAATCAGGAAACAAAAAAGGCTTTAATGTAATACATGAAGTAATATTGTTTAATCAGATATAGTCAAATAAGAACTACCAAGGCTTTAGCCATCCTGATCATGCTTCTTTCCAGAACAAGAGTTCCCTGAACAAGAATTACCCACCTTGCCAGGCAGTCCCAAACCCTGGGTAGTTGTTGTACTGCAGTGACCTACTCAGCTCCCCCCACAAAGTAGCATTCCCTGCAGCTGTTGTCCCTCCATGACTAGCACCACTGCTGCCGCCACTCCCTCCACTGTTGCTACCAGGGGCTGTGACCCCACCCCCGCCATCTCCACGGTCGCGGTTGCTTCGTTCTGCACCGCCTCCGTCATTATTAAAGCCTGAAACATCGGTCATTGTTTTACACTTGGTAACAAGGCAACAAAAATTAATGTTACAGAATATAAATACTGTAAACTGTTTTCTGAGAGTGGTTCCCTGTAGTTAAGTAATAGTCAAGCCAGCCTGTGGTAGTTGCATCAAGATACGAGATCCATCCTTGAGTACCACAAGTCATGACCAGTACCTGGCTCCCTCTATAAGAGGAGGGAAGCTTGGGAATTAGAAATTACCATAAATGAGAAAATATTCCATCAGAAAGCATAAATGCAACAAAACAAGCAACCACATTCATAAAATTAAGTACCACAGACAACAAAGTTACAATAATTTCCACCATGCAATTACACTGATCATGTTGTGCCTGCTCATCACCAGCTGACAGCCCAGTTCACACAGGGTCTGCACCTACTGCTACATAAGCTATCACAAACTTTGTACAGCCTAGGAACACTGCTTTGTAATTGTTTCTTCCTGGAACGCCAAATGGTGGCTCCCTAGCTCCCTGCGATAGCTCCACACAGATGAGTCACGTCAGCCTTCGGAGTCCTAAATGGCCTACCAGGGACCAGAGCCAGAATCTGCACACACCCCCTTCACAAAGGCACAGGGGAACAGGGTATTCTTATGATCAGTCACTGACAAAACATCCAGAAAGTAACCAAAGCAATACAGCAACTGCAAAGCTCACACAGAGAAAAGAACAAAAGCAGCAAATGACTTGACAAATGATTCACTCAGTACAGTAGCTAGACTAGACCCTCCCCCCCCCCCCCCCACCCCCTAGTTAAAATTGACCACTAACAGGTAGCAGCACCACCTGTTAGTCTGGATGATGTTATCATCATCAGAACCTCAACCCTGCTGTTGATGTCCTCAAATACATATTTCCACAACTTGCTGGCATTAGCAAATCCCTCTTTTTCTAAGGTAAGTGTAAGCCATCTTTTAGACACTGTATTATGGGGGCCATTTGCTTGCATGTCATTCCAAACTTTGGTATTTGCTTCACAAGCACATTTTTCAAGCCTCGTGTGTTCCACAGACTTGGTTAATTCATAGTCTCAAGCTGCATGTGATAAGGGTTACACTTGCAGGCGATGAGTCACAATAACGTGGCTAAAGTACAATCGATTTGAGAATGGTCCAGGACGGACCGAAATGTCGTCGTCCCTTCACCTTCTAGTGTGTGGTCTGGTCAACAAGGATTACACTTCCCTTGGTCCGAGAGAGTAACTTCTCTAGCAAGTTTTGGAGTTCACTCAAGAGGCCATAGTACTGTGTAGTGTCTCACCCTGAGTAGCGCAAGAGTCTCCAGCTCCCTTGTGAGGCCCTGTGATTGAGAGTGTTTGGGGTTTTTGCTGTTAGGTGCACTAGGATTTGCATCCTTGTCTATACCTGTCAATAATTTTGATGATCAACGTCCACGTGGCCCAGTCTCTGACCAGGCCTCCTGGTTGGTGGTCTGGTCAATCTGGCCATTTGAGGTTGCAACCAGTAGCCTGATGAATGAGTCACAGCCTGGTTGATCTGGTATTCCTTGAAGGTGTTTGTCAAGTTCTCTTTTGAACACTGAAAGAGGTCAGCCAGTTACACTTAGTTAGGAGGGGTGTTGAAAAGTCTTGGGCCTTTGATGTTGATCGAGTTCTCTTTCAGCATACCTACCTTACATTTCATTTACCTTTTGACGATTCAAAGGATCATTGTCCCGCACACCTCTGCTTTTCAATGGACCTATTTTGCACATCGTGCCATGCCTTCCGGTCTCGTGGTGTTATTTCTGTGTGCAAATTTGGAACCAGTCCTAGTATTTTCCAAGTGTAAATTATTATGTATCTCTCCTACCTACACTCTAAGGTATACAGATTTAAAATGTTTAAGCAGTCTCAATAATTTAAGTGTTTTATTGAAGGGATTCTAGCAGTAAAAAATCTTTGCACACTCTCCAGGTCAGTAATTTCTCCAGATTTGAAAGGGGCTCTTAGTGCGCAGCAATATTCCACCCTAGAGAACACTAGTGTCTTGAAAAGTATCATCACTGGTGTGGCATCTCTTGTTTGAAAGGTTCTTGTTATCCAATGTCATTTTTCTTACAACTGTGACATCTACTTTGTTGTGTTTGTTAGAAGTAAGGTCTTCCGACATGATTACTCCTAAATCTTTTACATTGCATATCTTTCAATACTGTAGTAACTTCATTACAGTTACCATAGTGCAGTAACTGGAATTTAGCCTCACATTAAACACCATGTTATTTTCTGTGGCTCATTGAAAGATTATATTAACGTCAGATTGGAGGTTTGCCATGTCCTCTATATTGTCTACACTCGTGAAGATTTTAGCATCATCTGAAGGATGAAACAGTACTATAGTTTCTATCTTTGTCTATGTCTGATATGAGGATGAGGAAAAGTATCAGAGCAAGCATGGTACCCTGGGAAACAGCTTTTCAAGGTGGATAATCTGAATTTTACTTTGTTGATAATTACACTCTGGGTTCTGTTCTTTAGGTAGTTAAAGATCCATCCTCCTACTTTGTCAGTAACTCATTTTGTGTGCATTTTGTATGCAATAACACCATATCTTGGGGTGATTCTATGGTCACATTTGTCAAAAGCTTTTGCAAAATCTGTGTATATTACATCATTTTGCTTGTCTTCCATGGCATCTAAGGCCCTGTTATAGTGGTCTAGCAACTGTGAGAGGCAGGAGCACCCTGTTCTGAACCCATGTTGCACGGGGTTATGTAGATGTTGTGATTTCATGTGATATGTAATCTTACTTCTTAGCACACTTTCAAAGATTTTAATGTGTGAAGTTAGAGCTATTGGTCTATAGTTTTTAGCATCTGCTTCACTACCTGCTTGATGGGGCTCTGGGAGTTCTTCTACTCCCCAAGCCCGGCCCGAGGCCAGGCTCGACTTGTGAGAGTTTGGTCCACCAGGCTGTTGCTTGGAGCAGCCTGCAGGGCCACATACCCACCACAGCCCGGCTGATCCGGAATTTCTCTTAGAAAATAGTCAAGTTTTCTTTTGAAGATGTCCACGGTTGTTCTGGAAATATTTCTTATTGTCGCTAGAAGGACGTTGAACAACCGTGGACCTCTTATGTTTATACAGTGCTCTCTGATTGTGCCTATGGCACCTCTGCTCTTCACTGGTTCAATCTTGCATTTTCTTCCATATCGTTCACTCCGGTACGTTGTTATTTTACTGTGTAGATTTGGGACCTGGCACTCCAGTATTTTCCATGTGTATATTATTTGGTATCTCTCTCGTCTCCTTTCTAGAGAGTACATTTGGAGAGCTTTGAGACGATCCCAATAATTTAGGTGTTTTATCTCATCTATGCGTGCCGTATATGTTCTCTGTATTCCCTCTATTTCAGCAATCTCTCCTGCTCTGAAGGGGAAAGTGAGTACTGAGCAGTACTCGAGATGGGACAACACAAGTGACTTGAAGAGTACAACCATTGTGATGGGATCCCTGGAATTGAAAGTTCTCGTAATCCATCCGATCATTTTTCTGGCTGACGCGATATTTGCTTGGTTATGCTCCCTAAACGTTAGATCGTCGGATATCATTATTCCCAAATCCTTGACATGCTGTTTTTCTACTATGGGAAGATTCGATTGTGTTTTGTACCCTGTACTATGTTTCAGATCCTCATTTTTGCCGTACCCGAGTACCTGAAATTTATCACTGTTAAACATCATGTTACTTTCTGCTGCCCAATCGAAAACTTTGTTGACATCTGCTTGTAGTTTTTCAATGTCTTCAGCAGAGGTAATTTTCATGCTGATTTTTGTGTCATCTGCAAAGGACGACACGAAGCTGTGACGTGTATTTTTGTCTATATCAGATATGAGAATAAGGAACAGTAGCGGTGCAAGGACTGTGCCTTGAGGTAGAGCTTTTAACATCGCTTGGACTCGATTTTATCTGATTGACTGTTACTCTTTGTGTTCTGTTCGACAGGCTTGAGTATCCAGTGTCCTACTTTTCCAGTTATTCCCATTGACCTCATTTTATGAGCTATCACTCCATGGTCACATTTGTCGAACGCCTTTGCAAAGTCTGTGTAAACAACATCTGCATTTTGCTTTTCTTCTAGGGCTTCTGTGATTTTGTCATAGTGGTTGAGTAACTGACAGACAGGATTTTCCTGCTCTAAATCCATGTTGTCCTGGATTGTGCAATTCATTGTTTTCCATAAAACTAGAAATTTGATTCCTAATCACTCTTTCAAACACTTTTATTATGTGTGATGTTAGTGCAAGTGGCCTATAATTTTTTGCCAAGGCTTTACTCCCCCCCTTGTGCAACGGAGCTATATCTGCAGATTTAAGTGCTGCTGGTATCTCCCCTGTATCCAGGCTCTTTCTCCATATTACGCTGAGTGCTCTCGCTACTGGTACTTTACATTTCTTTATGAATATTGAATTCCATGAGTCAGGCCCAGGAGCTGAGTGCATAGGCATATTGTCAATTTCTCTTTCAAAGTCTTCCGAGTTTGTGGTAATATCCGTTATATTATCTGCAGCTTGAATGTCATTCATAAAGAAGCTGTCTGGGTCATCAACTTTCATGTTGTTTATTGGTGTGCTAAACATAAGCTCATACTGGCTTCTTAGAATTTCACTAATCTCTTTGTTGTCCTCTGTGTATGTACCTTCATTTGTAATTAACGGTCCAATACTGGTCGAGGTTTTGGATTTTGATTTTGCGTATGTGAAAAAATATTTCGGATTTTTCCTTATCTCTTGTATAGCTTTCTGTTCCAATTACATTTCCTCAGACTCATATGATCGCTTCAACGTTTGTTCTATTCCTTCGATCTCCCTGCTTAGGCTTATTTTCCTTGCTTGTGATAGTTGTGTCTGTAACCTAACCTAACCTAACCTAACCTGGGGTACCTCCTTTGTGAGGTGGTGCAATCTCTGTTTGAAATGTGTAAGGAATAACACCTGTATTTAGACCGTCTCTTAAAAGGTGTTTTAGGC